GCTTGCATGTCTCGCACCCCTAGAAAGGGCATATCGCACCCCAGGTTAAGAGCACTGGTTTAAATGTATGGGAAAATATGCATGTAAGTACTAGGCTTTTTTTTTATCTGGCACTGATCTACCATAGTGTTAGATAACAACATAGAATAGTCCTACTTGGCTTGTAAATCTATTAATTTCTAAGGTATCTAGCCTGACCTGCATAACACAGGCCAAAGCACCTCACCTAATTCCTACATCAAGGCCATAACTCCCACTTCAGCTATAACACCTTTTAGAAAGATATCCTGTCTTAGCTTAAAGATGGCAAGTGATGGAGAATCCACCACATTCCTAGGTAAATTGTGCCAATGGCTAATTATCCTCACTTAACAATGTGCCTTATTTCTAGTCTGACTTGCCTAGCTTCAGCTTCCAATCATTGGATCTTGTTTTGCATTTTTCTGCTAAATTAGGGAGCTGACTGCTATCAGAAATCTCTCGTGCATGTACTTGTAGACTGTGATTAAGTTGCCTCTTAACCTTCTCTTTGATAAACTAAATAGATTAAGCTTTCAGACTGAAATAACTGACAAATCTCTGCAGTAACAGCTGTTATATCCTGGAGCAGTGCATTTATAAACTAGCGTTGTCATAGACAGAGAGGGGTTAACAATTCCATTCTGTGTGAATCACCCTGGTGCTCTGGTCATATTGTTACTGTTTTCTGATGGGTTTCAGGGACTGAAGCACTGAAAGGAGGATCTTTGCTTTTTGATGATCTCCCACCATCCAGCAGCTCAGGTAAGGGGATATAGCCTTCTCCCACATGCCTGACCTTTCCCTGCTTACAAATGCTTCACTTCTTTTTCTACAATGGCTTGTCTAAAACCTATTTTTCACTTTGGTCACTAAATCAGTCTCCATCTTCGTGGCTAGGGATTTTTTTCATTTTTAGCTGAGAGGCTGGGAAATGTGTTAAATGTGCACACTATTTCATCTTCTGCAAGAGAGGCTAGAGAATCAAGACACTTTTGCGGGGAGAAGGGAGAATGATTTTTGTGAGCTTTTTTCCTGATACTGATCTAATCTTTTTGTCTCTCCCTCTACTTCCATTAGTTAAGCCATTCAATTTTCTGTTTCTTTCTAGTCCTTTTTGATTCTTTCCTTTTCCGTTTCCTGTCTCTCTGGGATATTCTAAGCGTCCATATTTTGTCTATGTAGTCAGTCAGTACTACTATTTCAATGCTGGCCATGGATGTGTGAGAACAAACTAATTTAAACAAATGTGCGTTGCCAGAGAGCCACCAGTGCATCTTATGCCCATTTGTGTGTCCCATTTCCACTTCCATATTTTGTCCCTTGCCAAGGCTCTGTTTTTTCTCTTCCTCCCATCCTGCCCAACAACAGAGTGAATAGGACATAATCCTAGAATATCAGGGTTGGAAGGGACCTCAGGAGGTCTAGTCCAACCCCCTGCTTAAAGCAGCACCAATCGCCAGACATATTTTTACCCCAGTTCCCTAAATGGCCCCCTCAAGGATTGAACTCTCAACCCTGGGTTTAGCAAACCAATGCTCAAACCACTGAGCTATCCCTTCCCCCAAATCCTTACCAGTGTTTCTCTTGCCAGTATTGCTGGAGAAGCACCATGTGCAGGAAAAGCAGCACAAATGGGATTTATTGTAGAAATCTCTTTAAGAGAAATTTTAAAAAATAAAGTGGGAGAACATGGGATTTCCATAATCTGGTTTTGAATTAAAACCCTTGTTGGATGTATTAGAAATTGGTCTCTCCATAGTTCAGCCCCACAGCATCTGCCATGGTAGACACTTCTGCTATTGTCACTCTGCACATTTGGTATAAGCAAAATGTGTTGGGGAAATCCCCCATATAGTGAGTGTGGGTGTCTATGGATTTTTTGGTTTATGCTTAGTGTGCATATATAGCCTTTTGCACTAATGTTTATTAATATAAGAAAAATATCGTAGTACAAATTAAAAATGAGTGATTTTCAAAGGTGTTGCGCACCCACAGCTTCTCAGTAGCTTTGGAAAATCTGACCACTTATCACAAAATAATTTGGCCACATAATGGCTGCAGTGTCTGTACAAAATAAAAAATGAGGGAGGATTATACAAGATGGTGTAACAGCTTCTGTAGCCTGCCAAAACTCCTGTATGTGCATTTGTAAAAACTGTGGGTGAGTATTTAAGTGACACTTTGTTAACTTGGTGCTCTGTAGGGTCAGATTCTGCCCCTCTTAGTCATGTTGAGCGTACCTGATTATACACACAGTCCTACTGATTTAATGAGCATAAAGGGTGGAAGAATCCAACCCTTAGTCCTTTTTTCCATCATTTCTTTTATGGCAAATATTAGTTTTGATATCACATTTTATAGGAATTCAGAACTATTTTAATAACTTATTTGTATAATTATTGGTGTGATTTTGTATTGTGTACCCATTGTGAAATATATTGGTGATTTACTAGAAGTCATTAAATCCACTTTACTGGGTGTGTATTTTGTCAAGAAAAATAAACATGTAAACGTATCCCAGACAGGATTTGAGCTCAAGGCCAACTGCTTCCTTAAGTGCATATGCATTTCAGGTGTTCTGATAAGTCACCAGAGTGATACTCCTGGGGAATTCTGTGCATCTGCGGACACGCATAATTCATCTGTCTCGCATTCTTTTGTAGTTTCCTGCATAAAAAATATTTTGCCTAAGAAGTGCTGTACTTCTAATCTGCTGTGGTGCCAGAACAGCCAGCTGTGTTCATGCCTGCTGTTCTAGTGCCACAGCGGCCTCTGCTGGGCAAAAGGCACAATTGCAGCACTTCTTAGGCAAAATGTATCTTATGCAGGAAAATACAAAATTCTATGCCCAGTGCTGCAGAATTCCTCCAGGAGTAGGGTTCATCACAGCACCCTGCCCACGGAGCCAGGTTAGGACAAAGTGGGACACACAAGGCTGCTGGGGGGTGTCACAGACTGGGGTTCAGTATGTCCTGTTCTCTCCCTCCCCAACTAGCCAGACTGGAGCATGGACTAGTGGGGTGACAGTGTTGAGCCTGGGTATGGGGGAGGGGGGCTGCAGAGAGCCAGCGGGATGAGAGGTGCAGGGACAGGGGCAGATGTGCCTGATTGAATGGGAGAAGCTTGGGGTCAGCCTGGGTCTGCATGGGGGAGGCTTCCCAACACCCTAACAATCCCACCCTTCCGTGCCTTCCCCCCAAGAAAAACCTCACACCTAGCACCCTCCAGATTCACTCCTAGGCTCCTTCCCTCTCCCTCAGCTCTTCCATTACTCCTGCCTCCACCGAGCCTGTGTACTGCTTCTGACAGGTGCAGGAAATACAGTTCTGTATTGTAATTTAAATGAATTACACAAAGTTCTGTATTAATATGCCTTGTAAGGAATATGTCAAAAAAATTACCAGAATCTTTTTTCTTTTTTTGGTCTGTATTGTTACAGACATGCTTGCTGACAGATATTTTGAAATAAATTACCCAAATAATTGTAACTAGCATGATTATATTGTTGTTTTGACAAAATATGGAGAATTTTTAATGTCTTGGTGCAGAATTCCCCCAGGAGTAAGAGAGAGCCCAAATAAGTTGAATTGGTCATTGTTTTGTTAGTTCAACAGTAAGTAGAAAAGGCTCCCTTTTTGGTCATATATTTTTTCTTCCCATTAAAATGACTGTGGGAGATCTGCACAGAATTATAACCTGAATAACATGCTGAGGTATGACCTACTTCAGGCAATTCACTGGAGTTCATTTCCAGTGTAAATATATATTGTCGTAGTTGTAATGTTTTTCTACCCTCTAACTTAGTTAGGCCCCAATTGTGCAAAGACTTAAACCTGACTAACATTACACATCATGAGTAGTGCCATAAAGTCAATCAGACAAGTCACATTCCTTAAAGTTAAGCATGTGTAAGCTTTCATTATAGTGGCTAAGGTCCACTCCTGCATTCTTTGAACTCCATACCATATTCGCATAACTAAAAAGAAATATCTCTACAAGAAGTCGTCTTCTGTTTGTTTTGAAGTTAACCAATAATCAGTTGAGGCTGAACATTTTTAAGGGGATATCACCAACTTGAAAAATCCCATTTCTGCCTGAAGAAGGTTTTTTTTATTTTACCTGTTGTAGTTACAAGTAACAAATAGGATTATTGTAACTGGGTGAAGTTAAGATTTTTTTTCTCTTTTTAGTTTTTGTGCTTTTTACAGCACTTTGTATAGTCCGCTTTGCTGTTTTCCCCCCATATAGCTATATTTACCTTGCTGAAAATATCTTCAAACACCAAAAGAGGAGCAGAAAAACTCTTGAATTTTTAAAAAATAAATAATCTGCACCTATTATTTAAAAGGTGCTCACTGGAGTTTTTTAAAATAGTCAGCATTGCAGTATTTGTTTGATAGGATTCCTTTCTCCAAGTAACATATTGTGAATAATCATGAGGTCGTAGCTCTTAATCATACATGACATCAGATGGTTGTAAGGACATGAACATCTACTAGCTATTTGCTGTGAACTGAAAGCCACGGGCTTCCAGCATCTTAGAAATGCTCGGTAGGGTAGATGGATGTGGTTCAGAAGAAAAAGCCCTGGTTAGTAGAAAAGGAAGAGAGCAAAATGGGAGAAGAACCGAGGTGTACTTCAGATCTGTGAGGAATTCAAAGTACTTAGAACATCAGTGATAAAGATGCAGATTTCTTCAGTTTGCCATTTCAGTGTCTCCTCTGCTAATGGCCATTGGTCTGCATGTAAATACTTAGCAGTGTTATCTGAAATAACCTAATAGAATCTCTGCCCCTTCATTTCCTACAATATCGAAGGTTTCTAAATGAATCATTTTAACTCTTGTAAATCAGAAGTGCTTTAGCTAGAAATGCTTACAAAGGAGTTCTGACTATTTCCAGGAAAGTGGCAGTTTCTGTCTTGTGCAGTAACAGCCTATAGTTAGGGTGGAGGGGTTCATTTGGGGCAAGGATTGTTCTAGAATAATGGGGCATTCCTTTTCTTCCTGTAAATAATTTTTCAAGTGTGTTCTGACTCTGCTCTGATGTGTTTTAGGGAAAGAAGCACAAACAGGGCCTTTGCTTTTTGATGATCTTCCACCCGTCAGCAGTGCTGACTCAGGTATGAGGACTCTAATCATTGTCTTGGCATCTGCCTAGCTTGTTTGCATCAGCATCTCTTCTCACACTGAGATTTTGTGTAAACCCTTTTTATTATACATAAGTATAAGATAAACATGTAGATATTCTGGAAGATTTTGAGTGTCCATCTTCTTCCTCCTCACTCATTTCTTCAACTAATATAAATGGCTATCTTCATATGGATCTTTCATATTTTTTGAAATGTTAACATCGGGCATATTAAAAACATCAACATAAGGCCTAGGGCCTCCCACTGTCTGCTAATCATTGTTTTATATCTTGGAGAGGTACACGTTTAAACTGATCTGGTCTGAGTAAGCTGACATTTTGTAGCCTTCACACATCTGTTGGACATGATCAGAATTCTGCTCATGGGGTTGAGGCACTCAATTTACATTTGTTGACTGTTTTCTTGTGTTTCAGGGACAGGAGGACCTTTGCTCTTTGATGATCTCCCACCAGCCAGCAGTGGTGACTCAGGTAAGGGACTTGTAACAGCCTTCATGAGGGTCCCTCCATACATGTCTTTTCTCATGGAATTTGTCAACTTAGCTTGTCATACTGGGATTGTGATTCATCTTGTTCTTTCCAACAAACTTGCCTGTATCTTGGTGAGTATTTGGGCTCTTGTACTGGTAGTGGAGACTTATTCATGTAACTAAAAGTCTAAGGTTTCAGAATAGCAGCCGTGTTAGTCTGTATCCGCAAAAAGAACAGGAGTACTTGTGGCACCTTAGAGACTAACAAATTTATTAGAGCATAAGCTTTCGTGGACTACAGCCCATCCGAAGAAGTGGGCTGTAGTCC